ATAAACTGACAGCCAGCATAATTCTCAATGGTGAAAAGTTGAAAGCCTTCTTCTTAAAATCTGGAACAAGACAAGGATGTCCACTGGCACCACTTCTATTCAATATAGTATTGGAAGTCCTAGCCATAGCAATTAAACAAGAAAAAAAATGGATCCAAATTTGAAGAGAAGAGGTAAAATTGTCATTATATGCAGATGATATGATACTACATATAGAAAAACCTAAAGGCTCCACATAAAAACTACTAGAGTTAATCAAAGAATTCAGATAGTAGCAGGATACAAGGTTAACATACAGAAATCAGTGGCATTTCTTTACACTAACAATGAAATACCAAGAAAAAGGAAAGAAAATAATAAACAGTCCCTTTTAAAATTGCACCCAAAAAATAAAATAATTAGAAATAAATCTGACCAAGGAAGTGAAAGACCTGTATCACAAGACATTGATTAAGGAAATTAAACATGGCTTAAAGAAATGGAAAGATATCCCATGTTCTTGGATTGAAAGAATTAATATTGTTAAAATGGCCATACTACCCAAAGCAATCTACAGATTTAATGCAATCCCTAGCAAATTACCCAGAACATTTTTCACAGAATTAGAGCAAATAATCCTAAGGTTTGTATGGAATCATAGAAGACTCAGAATTGCCAAAGCAATACTGAATAAAAAGAATGAAGCTGGAGGAATAACCCTCCCAGACTTCAGACAATACTACAGAGCTACAGTAATCAAAACAGCATAGTATTGGTATAAAAACAGACATATGGATCAATGGAACAGAATAGAGAGCCCAGAAATAAACCCACAAACTTCTGGTCAATTAATCTTTGACAAGGGACACAAGAACATACGATGGAGTAAAGACAGTCTCTACAACAAATGGTATTGGGAAAACTGGACAGCTGCATGTAAATCAATGAAGTTAGAAAACTCTCTCACACCACACATGCAAAAATAAACTCAAAATGGCTTTAAGACTTAGACAAGACACTATAAA